TGAAACATGGTAGCACGGGGGGAAGGGGGGGTGGTACCAAATTATGAGGGATTGAAGTTCCCCTTTAAAGTCAGCTTTCAGTGTATTTTTAGAGATTGGTCCAGACCTCAACCACTTCTCCCAGTCTGATGGAATGGGATGAGCACCTACCGGTGTGATGACAGTGAGGTCAGGTAAGTGGCTTCCTCCAGCACACGGGTGATTGCTTAGGAGAACATCCCCTTCCTTCAGGTCATCCTGCAAACTTCTAATCTGTAACAAAGGAGGAAAAGACACTAAAAATGCATCATGAGATTTAAACATCAGATTATATAGTTAAAAGAAAACATCCAAAATTCAAGCTTTGGTGCAGAGCTCAGACGGGAGTCTATTTAGGGCAATGAGTGTAAGTCTGGCGACTGAAAAGTGGATTTTATACTTTTCATGAAGAACAAGAAAAAAAATACTGAGATTTTATCTGCACTGAACAGCACAAATTAATCCCTTGGTGCCGGCACCTCCCGGCCCGTTAACCACTTCAAGTCTGGACACTTTCCCCCCCTTCCAGTCAAGACACTTTTACCCCCTTCCAGTCAAGACACTTTCACCCCCTTCCCAGTCAAGACACTTTCACCCCCTTCCAGTCAAGACACTTTCACCCCCTTCCAGTCAAGACACTTTCCACCCCCTTCCAGTCCGGACACTTTCCCCCCCCCTTCCCAGTCCGGACACTTTCCCCCCCCTTCCAGTCCGGACACTTCCCCCCCCCTTCCAGTCTGGACACTTTCACCCCCTTCCTGCCCAGGCCAATTTTCAGCTTTCAGCCCTATCACACTTTGAATGGCAATTACTTAGTCATGCAACGCTGTACTCATAGGAACTGTTTATCCTTTTTTTGAGACATTTGGTATTTGACCACCACTGGGTTTTTTATTTTTTGCTATATACATGAAAATCTACCGAAAATTTTGAAAACAATAATTGTTTGCTTTGTTTTTGTTATACAATTTTGCAAATATATACGTTTTCTTCATAAATGTAGGCCAAGATGTATTCTGCTGCATTTTATGGGTAAAAATAACCAAAAACAATTCATAATATGTAGTTTGTGTGAAAGCTATAAAGTCTACAAACTATGGGATATATTTGAAACATGATCAGGTGAGATCCTAAAATGCCGGACGCTGGTATGGGGTATGGAGGTGATCAGGACGCTGGTATGGGGTATGGCGGTGATCAGGGTGCTGGTATGGGGTATGGAGGTGATCAGGACGCTGGTATGGAGTATGGTGGTGATCAGGATGTTGGTATGGGGGTATGGCGTTGATCAGGATGCTGGTATGGGGGTGATCAGGGTGCTGGTATGGGGTATGGTGGTGATCAGGATGCTGGTATGGGGTACGGTGGTGATCAGGATGCTGGTATGGGGTATGGAGGTGATCAGGGTGCTGGTATGGGGTATGGGGGTGATCAGGACGCTGGTATGGGGTATGGCGGTGATCAGGGTGCTGGTATGGGGTATGGAGGTGATCAGGACGCTGGTATGGGGTATGGAGGTGATCAGGATGCTGGTATGGGGTATGGAGGTGATCAGGAGGCTGGTATGGGGTATGGAGGTGATCAGGATGCTGGTATGGAGTATGGCGGTGATCAGGACGCTGGTGTATGGCGGTGATCAGGACGCTGGTGTATGGCGGTAATACATCAGGTGAGAAGAAAAAAAAATAAGTAAAAGGTATTTAGTAATTATTTATAAGGGAGGAAGGTAATATAAAATCTGGGCCGTTCTGACCTGGAACTGGACCGTCTCCTGCATGGCTCCCAGGTGGACAGGAATATGGGGGGCATTGGACACCAGACCGCCGTCAGGGCCGAATAGGGCGCAGGAGAAGTCCAGACGTTCTTTGATGTTGGTGGAGATGGCCGTCCGCTGCAGGATGCGACCCATTTGTTCTGTGGAAGGAGAATGAACATTAAGTAACAATGTAACATATCCCAATGTCATGTTTATAAAGCAGAGGTGAGAGCTCTGCCGTAGAGGTGATGGACAACCTGCGATGCTCATGAAGCGGTGGGAGAAGATGGACAGCTGGATGGTGTCCAGTTCCGTGCCGATCGCCTGCTGCTTCCCGCATCCCACTGTGATCTGGACGTCCCCGTAGTCTGTGATAGAAGCCGTACAGTCTGGTTCCACCAGGACAGTGCTACAAAGGACACCTTGTCACATGAATGTATGACACCTTGTCACATGAATGTATGACACCTTGACACATGAATGTATGACACCTTGTCACATGAATGTATGACACCTTGTCACATGAATGTATGACACCTTGGCACATGAATGAATGACACCTTGACACATGAATGAATGACACCTTGACACATGAACGTATGACACCTTGACACATGAACGTATGACACCTTGACACATGAACGTATGACACCTTGACACATGAACAAGGGCGGATTGACCATTTTTGCACTCGGGCACTGCCCGAGGGCCCAGGGTTAGTAGGGGGGGGGGCCCCATGAGATGCCACATTTGGATCGATCGCCGACCGGTGCAGGGGAGGTCCATTTCAAGGAATGTCCACATAGATATATAGCCAAATGACATCCACTGTGACTGTGCTCTATTTCCTGCGGTGGAAAGGATACATCTCTTGGAGGGATTTCTGCACAGGGCCTGTTTATTTCTTGTTTCTGGTGAGTGCGTAGTGGTGGAGGATTGTCACAGATGTACTCTTCATCAGGGGCGGACTGACAACTCATGGGGTCCCCGGGCAATAGGGGATCATGGGGCCCCTGTGTCCTTGCCCAAACTCAAAAAAGCCTATGAAAAAGGTACCAGAGGCATCTCATGGGGCCCCCTACTGACCCCAAGCCCTCAGGCAGTGCCCGAGTTTCCAAATGGTCAGTCCGCCCCTGCCCATCATAGATGTCACTTCACATCGTTGATCACCATTGATTCACACATTAATGCCGGACATTGCTCTTCTTTCTTTTGGACTTCATTTATTATTTATGATCTCGGTTATCAGTTCACGTATTTGTTTTGTTCCCATATATCAATATTAGTGCTGCACCTTTTGTATATTTACTTATACAATGTATCAGTTGTACAAAACTCTGAAGATACTTCAGAGATTCTGCTCTCTCCTGGCTCTCATCCTACCTGACACAACGCTCTTTCAGCGTTACCTATAATGCTACCACCTCCCCCTCACTCCCCCTCTCTGTTGGGGTCCCTCAAGGCTCCGTCCTCGGGCCCCTTCTCTTCTCCATCTACACCTCCTCCCTTGGCCAACTCATACACTCTCACGGCTTCAACTGTACCACCTCTATGCCGACGACACACAAATCTATCTCTCAACCCCCCACCTCACCCCCTCGGTCTCAGCCCGAATCACACACCTACTGAGCGACATATCAGATTGGATGTCACTCCACTTCCTTAAACTGAACCTCTTCAAGACAGAGTTTCTTGTCTTCCCCCCCCCCAGCCCGGACACCACCCCCCATTGACTTCTTCATCATGTCCAACAACGCCACCATCAAACCCGCCCCGCAGGCCAGAGTACTTGGTGTCATTCTGGACTCCAACCTATCCTTCCAGTCCAAGTCCAATCTTTAACAAACTCATGCAGACTCCACCTCCGCAACATGCAGACTCCGCCTCCGCAACATGCAGACTCCGCCTCCGCAACATGCAGACTCCGCCTCCGCAACATGCAGACTCCGCCTCCGCAACATCGCCAAAATCCGCACGTTCCTAACTCCAGAAACCACTAAACAGCTCATCCACTCCCTCATCATATCACGACTCGACTACTGACAACTCCCTCCTCACTGGCCTGCCTCGCCGCTGGCTCCCCGCTTCAGTCCATCCTGAATACGGCTGCCAGACTCATTCACCTTTCCAAATGCTCCGTTTACGCCACCCCCCTCTGCCAATCCCTCCACTGGCCTCCACTCAGTGTCCTCCACCCCCCTCTGCCAATCCCTCCCCTGGCCTCCACTCAGTGTCCTCCACCCCCCTCAGCCAATCCCTCCACTGGCCTCCATTCAGTGTCCTCCACCCCCCTCTGCCAATCCCTCCACTGGCCTCCACTCAGTGTCCTCCACCCCCCTCTGCCAATCCCTCCACTGGCCTCCACTCAGTGTCCTCCACCCCCTCTGCCAATCCCTCCACTGGCCTCCACTCAGTGTCCTCCACCCCTCTCTGCCAATCCCTCCACTGGCCTCCACTCAGTGTCCTCCACCCCCCTCTGCCAATCCCTCCACTGGCCTCCACCCCCTTCTGCCAATCCCTCCACTGGCCTCCATTCAGTGTCCTCCACCCCCCCTCTGTCAATCCCTCCACTGGCTTCCGATTGCGCAACGGATCAAATTCAAATTCCTATCATTGACGTACAAAGCCGTCCACCATACTGCCCCGAACTACATCACTGACCTAATATCCAAGTACCGCCCAACACGCACACTCCGCTCCTCACAAGACCTCCTTCTCTCTAGTTCCCTGGTCTCCTCCTCCCATGCCCGCCTCCAGGACTTCTCCAGGGTGTCACCCATCCTCTGGAACTCCATGCCCCAATCCATCAGATTATCAGCTACTCTCCTCTCCTTTAGGCGCATCCTGAAAACCCACCTCTTCAGGGAAGCCTACCCCACCCCCTGCTAATCGCCGACCTCCTCCACTCTTCCTACCACTCCATCCCCCACAGCTATCTCCTCCTGTGCCACCATCCCCTCCCTCCTAGATTGTAAGCTGGAAAGAGCAGGGCCCTCGATCCCCTCATGTTTTGCATTGTATTGGTATTGTTCTGTCACATGTTCTGTCCCCCTCTGTAATGTACAGCGCTGAGCAAAACATTGGCGCTTTATAAATACTGTATAATAATAATAATACTTGTGTGTGAGAACGCTGGTGATACGGCCTACCTGTTCTTATCAATGATGATGGCGGGTCCAGGGATGGTGTGGCCACATGACAGCTCCTCCAGAAGGTACACATGGGTGTCCTTATACCCGTCTTCAAAGTAGCATTGAGTTACCTGGGCAGAGGGTACGGGTGGTTAGCTGGAGCTTGGTTTTAAAGCTGGCAGTAGAAAAAAAAAAATGAGGTCTTCCTCGTTCGGCATTAGTTCATGGTATACAGCCAAGATGCATGTACAAGGACTTCAAGCAATTACCTACATGTTCTATACGTGCCGGACGTCCACTAGGTCTGATACGGCTCTCGCAGCGGATACCAGTGCTCCCAGTCCCTCGCACACGGATGTCATCTACCACAATGGGTCTGGATGGGATGGTAAATCCAAACTCTTTCATGTACCTGGAAAAGCCAAGAGGTTCCCCTAAGCAGCAGAGCCATTTCATTGTCTATCACGGGTGCTGAAAATGGCTCTTCCCAACATTATGCTTCAGTAAAGCCAAACCACATCCATCACCCTATATACTGAATGTCTCCCAGAGTATCTAGATTTGTTGCCAAACTGTCTCTAGGAGTTTATAAATTGAACCCGCTTTGAAAAGCCACACTAACCACTAGAGGAGAGCACAGTTCTAAAAAATAATTATTATATATTGGTAGCCAAGTGTTTCGCTACAACAATATGGAGGACAAGAGAGGACAACAGCCGCTTTCACTTTCGGTTTGGTTGCTACTGGATTATGTTGCACCGTTTGCCTCCTGTCAGCAGGGGGAGCGCTATAGCCAGGAAATCCTATGGACTTCTATGCAGAAAGGTGAGGATCATGGGACTTGAAGTCCAGGAAGTAAGCCATAATGTGGAACTTATGGACTCTGCACTTCAATCCCAAAGAGACACTGGAGGCAAAAAGGAGCAGCGGATCTGATTTTCTGAGACTACTCAGCTAGGCTTGTTCTCCTTGCAGCACAGAAGCCAAGGCGTATATATCAGTCCTGGTGCACACAGACCATCCACAGGAACTAAGGTTTTGTGCTGTCCTAGACAAGACAGAAAGAACCTGACATTGACCAACAACACCCCTGCCCCCCCAAGAGAGGCTTCCACTACCACCGCCCCCCATACACTGGCAAACCACCCCCCACCCCAACACTAGAGAGAAAGACACTCATCTTTGCAGCTCCAGACATCCCTGGGAACAAGAGTCATGCTCTGTATACACCATCAAGCAGCCCCTCTTGGATCCCACCTGGTCCCCATGCCGCATGTGTCCCTTCTTCCGTCCCTTCTTCTGGGTGACAGTGCTACCCCCCCGAAAAATGCCGACCTAGGCAAATGCCTTGTGGTAAAATACACCCCTGCCTGTGAACGGTGCTTGGTGCCAGTGTGTTGGCGGTCGCAAGGTCGGGAAGCGCCATCACTGCGGTGATACCACTATTGTAAGAGGAACTGGAGCCATTCTTCATAGATTCCAGAGGCCATTGCACAGTTGGAGATCACAGCTGGGACCGCTGAGAGGGCAATGCTGCCCATATCCTTTTGCTGCTTGTAGGGACCTAGCGTTTAGGGATTGGACACCTGACTAGCAGCACATGTGACTGCATACAGATTCATTGGTAGTGTGTTTATGTGCACCAACTCGAGTTTGGGCCCCAACACTAGCCGGCCGAAGGGTAGGAAAGAGGAATGTTTCTCTAAAGCTGTTCCTCGATGACTCTGTTCACTGCCTAGATAAAGGGTACCCCCTTACAGACGGGTGTGGTCACAGCAGAGTCCTCCATAGGGTGCACGTTGGTAGTATAGCATGACGATTACAGGAGAGTCTTTGCGAAAGTGACTATTGGTCAGGGGTGTATTTAGGTTTTGTGCTGCCCTAGGCAACACGGACACCGACCAACACCACCCCTCCCCGGGAGAAAGCATGCCATTGCCTAACAACACCCCTACCCCCCCTCCTGGTAGAGCCTTCCACTCCCCCCCCCCCCCCCCCGGCGATAGAAAGACACTCATCTTCACAGCCTCAGACATCCTCAGGAACGGGAGTCAGGCTCTACATATGCCATCAAGCAGGTCGCAGCCTCTCTCAGATCCCACCTCGTCCCCATGGAGTGCATGTCCCTTCTATCATCCCTTCATTTGGAGGGAGGTGCTGCCCCCCCGAAAAAATGCTGCCCTAGGCAACACAAAAATCGTCTGCCCACATGGACACTGACCCCTCCCGGGGAGAAAGCCTGACATTGGTCAACAACACCCCACCCCACCTGGGAGGGCCTAGAGAGAAAGACACTCATTTTCACAGCCTCAGACAGCCCCGGGAACGAGAATCAGGCTCTACATACACCATCAAGCAGCCCGCAGCCTCTTATAGATCCCACCTGGTTCCCATGGCACGCGTGTCCCTTCTATCATTCCTTCTTCTGGAGGGAGGTGATGCCCCCCTGAAAAATGCCACCCTAGGCAAGTGCCTTGTGGTAAATACACCCCATGCTATGGGTACGGTTACAGAGTTATCTTTGCTATGGTTTATGCCGATCCTATAGCATAGAACTTTTTTACCAGATTATTGATTATACTGTCAGGTGAGCTGCATTACTCTGTACTACAAATCTACTCCCTCATACATTTACTGCCAATTCCCTTTACATTTGCGGTTTCCTGATACAGTATCATCACTGTGTCCCAAGTATAGGGTCAAGGCAAATAACAGAGAGCCCATTCTAGCCAGCAGCCCCTACAGGGGCAGTGCTAGATATTAAAATGAAGGCAGGCACCCCATATAATTAATGTAGGGCTCTCCTCTCCTTCCTCTATAAAACTCTCCTCTCCCGAAATACTCTGCACTGCTGGAGGACTCCGCTCCTTCCTCTCTATATCTCTCCTCTCCTGAAATACTCTGCTCTGCTGGAGGACTCCGCTCCTTCCTCTATAACTCTCCTCTCCTGAAATACTCTGCGCCGCTGGAGGACTCCGCTCCTTCCTCTATAACTCTCCTCTCCTGAAATACTCTGCGCTGCCGGAGGACTCCGCTCCTTCCTCTATACTCTCTCCTGAAATACTCTGCACTGCTGGAGGACTCCGCTCCTTCCTCTATAATCTCCTCTCCTGAAATACTCTGCAGTGCTGGAGGACTCCGCTCCTTCCTCCATAACTCTCCTCTCCTGAAATACTCTGCACTGCTGGAGGACTCCGCTCCTTCCTCTATAACCCTCCTCTCCTGAAATACTCTGCACTGCTGGAGGACTCCGCTCCTTCCTCTATAAATCTCCTCTCCTGAAATACTCTGCACTGCTGGAGGACTCCGCTCCTTCCTCTATAACTCTCCTCTCCTGAAATACTCTGCACTGCTGGAGGACTCCGCTCCTTCCTCTATAACTCCTCTCCTGAAATACTCTGCACTGCTGGAGGACTCCGCTCCTTCCTCTATAACTCTCCTCTCCTGAAATACTCTGCGCTGCTGGAGGACTCCTCTCCTTCCTCTATAACTCACCTCTCCTGAAATACTCTGCACTGCTGGAGGACTCCGCTCCTTCCTCTATAACTCCTCTCCTGAAATACTCTGCGCTGCCGGAGGACTCCGCTCCTTCCTCTATAACTCTTCTCCTGAAATACTCTGCACTGCTGGAGGACTCCGCTCCTTCCTCTATAACTCTCCTCTCCTGAAATACTCTGCTCTGCTGGAGGACTCCGCTCCTTCCTCTATAACTCCTCTCCTGAAATACTCTGCGCTGCTGGAGGACTCGCTCCTTCCTCTATAACTCTCCTCTCCTGAAATACTCTGCTCTGCTGGAGGACTCTTTTTTTTTTTCTTTTTAATGCACTGAAAATGCAGTAAACTGTATTTCTGGATGCCCCTCTGATCTCTTACCTGGCTGTGAAGGCACTTTTGAAGTCCCCGGCATGGCAGGAGTCAGGGTGTGCTGGGTATCCCTTCACTGAACACATGAGGGCGCAGTCCGTACGCTCGTAGCGGAGGTGCAGGAACGGCTCCGTATCAATCTGTGATCTTGTGGGAGAATCATAACAAACATCTCATTATAAAGGCCATCACTTTCCAGCTGAACAGAAATTTGTGTACACTTCATTATTTAATACCCCTAGAGGAATACTGATCAAAGCAATACAAGCAACTTGTGCTGCATAGTTACATAGTTACCAGGGGCGTAGCTAGGATATTTTGCTCCCGGGGACGAACTATAAAACTGGCGCCCCAGCCCCCCTCCCCGTTTAATCACATCAGTGACACCAATGATGGGGCACTATTCCTCCCACTGACACCAATGATGGGGCACTATTCCTCCCACTGATACCAATGATGGGGCACTATTCCTCCCACTGACGCCAATGATGGGGTACTATTCCCCCCACTGACACCAATGATGGGGCACTATTCCTCCCACTGACACCAATGATGGGGCACTATTCCTCCCACTGACACCAATGATGGGGCACTATTCCTCCCACTGACACCAATGATGGGGGGTACTATTCCTCCCACTGACACCAATGATGGGGCACTATTCCTCCCCCCACTGACACCAACGAGGGGGCACTATTCCTCCCCCGACTGACACCAATGATGGGGCACTATTCCCCCCAATGATACCAATGATGGGGCACTATTCCCCCCACTGACACCAATGATGGGGCACTATTCCCCCCACTGACAGCAATGATGGGGCACTATTCCTCCCACTGACACCAATGATGGGGCACTATTCCTCCCACTGATACCAATGATGGGGCACTATTCCTCCCACTGATACCAATGATGGGGCACTATTCCTCCCACTGACACCAATGATGGGGCACTATTCCTCCCACTGACACCAATGATGGGCACTATTCCTTCCACTGACACCAATGATGGGGCACTATTCCTCCCACTGACACCAATGATGGGGCACTATTCCTCCCACTGACACCAATGATGGGGCACTATTCCTCCCACTGACATCAATGATGGGGCACTATTCCTCCCACTGACACCAATGATGGGGCACTATTCCCCCACTGACACCAATGATGGGGCACTATTCCTCCCACTGACACCAATGATGGGGCACTATTCCTCCCACTGACACCAATGATGGGGCACTATTCCTCCCACGGACACCAATGATGGGGCACTATTCCTCCCACTGACACCAATGATGGGGCACTATTCCTCCCATGATATCAATGATGGGGCACTATTCCTCCACTGACACCAATGATGGGGCACTATTCCTCCCACTGACACCAATGATGGGGCACTATTCCTCCCACTGACACCAATGATGGGGCACTATTCCTCCACTGACACCAATGATGGGCACTATTCCTCCCACTGACACCAATGATGGGGCATTATTCCTCCCACTGACACCAATGATGGGGCACTATTTCCTCCCACTGACACCAATGATGGGGCACTATTTCCTCCCACTGACACCAATGATGGGGCACTATGCCTCCCACTGACACCAATGATGGGGCACTATGCCTCCCACTGACACCAATGATGGGGCACTATTCCTCCCACTGACACCAATGATGGGGCACTATTGCTCCCACTGACACCAATGATGGGGCACTATCCCTCCCACTGACACCAATGATGGGGCACTATTCCTCCCACTGACACCAATGATCAGGGGCACTATTCCTCCCACTTGATACCAATGATCCCTCACTATCCTTCCACTGACACCAATGATGGGGCACTATTCCAAGCCCACCTGACACGCAATGATGGGGCACCTGTATTCCTCCCACTGACACCAATGATGGGGCTATTCCTCCCACTGACACCAATGATGGGGCGGAGCTATTGCTTCCACTGACACAATGATGGGGCAGTATTCCTCCCACTGACACCAGATGACAGGGGTGGCATATTCCCTCCCAATGACACGCAATGATGGGACACTAAGACACCCACTGACACCAATGAGCACCTCCTGGGACACCGATGCCTAGGGCACTATTCCTCCCACAGACACCTGGCACTATTCCTCCCACTGATACCAATGACTGGGGACACTATTCCTCCCACTGACACAATGAGCACTATTCCTCCCACTGACACCAATGTGGGGCACTATTCCTCCCACTGAAGGGGGGGGATGGGGCACTATTCCTCCCCTGACACATGATGGGCACTATGCAAACGCCCACTGACACCAATGATGGGGCAAATACCTCCCACTGACACCAATGATGGGGCACTATTCCTCCCACTGACACCAATGATGGGGCACTATGTACCCCCCTCCCACTGACACCAATGATACACCTCCGACAGTTACACCAAGATGGGGCACTAGTTAGTCCTGGCTGAAAAAACCAATGATGGGGCACTATTCCTCCCATTAAAAAAAATTCCTCCCCACCAATGATGGGGCACTATTCCTCCACTGACACCATGATGATCCAGCAAACTGACATCCAATGATGGGGCACTATTCCTCCCACTGACCCAATGATGAGGCACTATTCCTTTCTCCCACTGACCACTCCCCTGACATCCATGATGGGGCACTATTCCTCCCAATGATACCAATGATGGGACACTATTCCTCCCACTGACACCAATGATGGGGCCAGTTATATTCCTCCCACTGACAACCAATGATGGGGACTTTCCTACAGCATCCACTGAGCTGGCCACACCCCAATGACTATTCCTCCTTGATGGGGCACTATTTCCTCCCATTCTCACAGCCAATTACTGGGGAAGAAACCTCCTCCCACTGACACCAATGATGGGGCACTATTCCTCCCACGTGAAAGAGTGGGGCATCCACAGTGGTCTGGTACCATATTGAGGACACTATTCCGCAGTGGTCCAAATGACATTGAGGAGTGTAGATTCCTCCCACAGTGGTCTGTACATTGAGAATTAGACCAGTCGGTCCTATGATGGGGCACTATTCTCCCACTCCAATGTGTAGCCAGCATACCTGGTTGCAGTGAGCACCATGGTCACGGTAACCCTGAGACCGGTAGAGCTGCCTTCTGGTCACTTGCTCACGTCCGCTCCCTCACTCGATCTTCGCGCTGCTGCTTTGGGCTCCTCCTCTCCAAGCTCCACCTCCTCGCAGGTGGATTGGCCACCTGTGACGCAGTGGTTTCCTGAGCTACAGTTCAGGCACCTAATGGGTGAGGAGGCAGCTTGCAGAGAGAGGTACAAGCTGCCAGTGGCTGACATTGAAAGGTGTGGCCAGATGACAGGGGTGGCATGTCATCCCGCCCACACATCGCGTCCAGGGAAAAGAAGACACCGGACCTGGGTAACCTCTCTACCCCTCCTCCAGCAGCACCTCCTGGACTGGATCGTCGTGGGACTGTACACGGAGCCAGGTAAGACACAGCAGCCCGCCCCTGTACTAAGTGTCCCTTTTGTTGGAAGGGGGGGGGCGGCGGAGCACCGTGCCGCTCCCCTGTAACAGTGCCGCCCTAGGCAAACGCCTTGTTTTCCTCGTGGCAAATACATTCCTGGTTGTAAGCCTCATTTTGGCGCCCCTGTATCTTGGTAACCGGGTACAGGTATGTACCCCCCTGCCCCCCCCCCCCCCCCAAGCTACACCGCGACAGTTACACAGTTACGCAGTTAGTCTGGCTGAAAAAAAGTCAAAAGTCCATCCAGTTCAACCATTAAAAAAAAAAAAAAAAAAAAAAAAGTTATAATCCTCCACCCACAGTTGATCCAGAGGAAGGCAAAAAAAAACCAGCAAAGCACGATCCAATTTGATCCTTCTGGGAAAAAATTCCTTCCTGACCCCCGAGAGGCAATCGGATATTCCCTGGATCAACCCCTATAAATGTTATATCCAGTTATATTCTGTGTAACATTGAGAAAGAATCCAGGACTTTCCTACAGCAATCCACTGAGCTGGCCACACCCAACTCTTGAGGGAGTCTATTCCACATGTCTCACAGCTCTTACTGTGAAGAAAACCTTTCCGTGTTTGGAGATTAAATTTCTTTTCCTCCAGACGTAAAAGAGTGCTGCAGTGTCCACAGTGGTCTGGTAATATTGAGGACCATAGACGCAGTGGTCTGGTAACATTGAGGAGTGTAGACGCAGTGGTCTGGTAACATTGAGAAGTGTAGACGCAGTGGTCTGGTAACATTGAGAAGTGTAGACGCAGTGGTTGGTAACATTGAGAAGTGTAGACGCAGTGGTCTGGTAACATTGAGAAGTGTAGACGCAGTGGTCTGGTAACATTGAGAAGTGTAGACGCAGTGGTCTGGTAACATTGAGGAGTGTAGACACAGTGGTCTGGTAACATTGAGGTACCATAGACACAGTGGTGGGTAACATTGAGAAGTGTAGACGCAGTGGTTGGGTAACATTGAGAAGTGTAGACGCAGTGGTTGGGTAACATTGAGAAGTGTAGACGCAGTGGTTGGTGGGTAACATTGAGAAGTGTAGACGCAGTGGTTGGGTAACATTGAGGAAGTGTAGACGCAGTGGTTGGGTAACATTGAGGAGTGTAGACGCAGTGGTTGGGTAACATTGAGGAGTGTAGACGCAGTGGTTGGGTAACATTGAGGAGTGTAGACGCAGTGGTTGGGTAACATTGAGGAGTGTAGACGCAGTGGTTGGGTAACATTGAGGAGTGTAGACGGCAGTGGTTGGGTAACATTGAGGAAGTGTAGACGCAGTGGTTGGGTAACATTGAGAAGTGTAGACGCAGTGGTTGGGTAACATGTTGTGAGCGTAGGTCGCAGTGGTTGGGTAATGTTGAGGAGTGTAGACGCAGTGGTTGGGTAACATTGAGGAGTGTAGACGCAGTGGTTGGGTAACATTGAGGAGTGTAGACGCAGTGGTTGGGTAACATTGAGGAGCGTGGTCGCAGTGGTTGGGTAACATTGAGAAGTGTAGACGCAGTGGTTGGGTAACATTGAGAAGTGTAGACGCAGTGGTTGGGTAACATTGAGGAAGTGTCGCGCAGTGGTTGGGTAACATTGAGAAGTGTAGACGCAGTGGTTGGGTAACACATTGAGAAGTGTAGACGCAGTGGTTGAGGAGTGTAGACGCAGTGGTTGGGTAACATTGAGGAGTGTAGACGCAGTGGTTGGGTAACATTGAGAAGTGTAGACGCAGTGGTTGGGTAACATTGAGGAGTGTAGATGCAGTGGTTGGGTAACATTGAGGAGTGTAGACGCAGTGGTCAGGTAACATTGAGAGTGTAGACGCAGTGGTTGGGTAACATTGAGGAGTGTAGTTGAGACAGTGGTGGTGGGTAACATTGAGGAGTGTAGACGCAGTGGTCAGGTAACATTGAGGAGTGTAGACGCAGTGGTTGGGTAACATTGAGGAGTGTAGACGCAGTGGTTCAGGTAACATTGAGGAGTGTAGACGCAGTGGTTGGGTAACATTGAGGAGTGTAGACGCAGTGGTTGGGTAACATTGAGGAGTGTAGACGCAGTGGTTGGGTAACATTGAGGAGTGTAGACGCAGTGGTTGGGTAACATTGAGGAGTGTAGACGCAGTGGTTGGGTAACATTGAGGAGTGTAGATGCAGTGGTCAGGTAACATTGAGGAGTGTAGATGCAGTGGTCAGGTAACATTGAGGAGTGTAGACGCAGTGGTTGGGTAACATTGAGGAGCGTGGTCGCAGTGGTCAGCCGAGGAAACTTAATGCAGCAGAGGAAACACACATCATGCTTACTTCCCTTCCACATCAGGTGGTGTCCAGCAGTGCCATCAGCACAGAACTGGCAGAAACCAATGGGACCCGGGTACACCCAACTACTGTCAGGAGAAGTCTGGCCCAGAAGCGGTTCTCATGGAAGAATTGCAGCCAAAAAGCCACACCTCTGATGTGGCAAACAAGGCTAAGTGACTCAGCAAATCCAGGAAAACATAAGAACAGGGGTGCCAAAAAATGGCAGCTGGTGCTCTGTACTGAAGAGTCAAAAAGTGAAATATTTGGCTGTAGCAGGAGGCAGTTTGTTGGATAAAAGGCTAGAGAGCGGTACAATAATGAGTGTCTGCAGGCAACTGTGAAGCATGGTGGAGGTTTATTGCAAGTTTGAGGCTGCAAATAGAGTTGGAGATTTGGTCAGGCTCAATAGTGTCCTCGAAAAAAGGAAGGGTGACTTACCTCTCCAGCAATGCAAATACTGAAGATAGTGCCGACTTCCAAAGTTTCTGTGAAAATATTGGGGGAGGTATGCTTGGAGGGAGGTGAGGAGTGGTGTAAACAAAGAGGGATTTAGATTGATACTGCACTGCCCTATTGCACTCTGCTACAGGAAACCCCTCCCGGGCCTGGACCCCTCCTGTTGACCCCAGATGTTTGAGGACCAGAACCATCCCCAACCATCTCTGTTGACCCCAGATGTTTTAGGACCAGAACCATCCCCAACCCTCTCTGTTGACCCCAGATGTTTTAGGACCAGAACCATCCCCAACCAGCTCTGTTGACCCCAGATGTTTGAACCATCCCCAACCATCTCTGTTGACCCCAGATGTTTTTGAACCATCCCCAACCAGCTCTGTTGACCCAGATGTTTGAGGACCAGAACCATCCCCAACCATCTCTGTTGACCCCAGATGTTTTAGGACCAGAACCATCCCCAACCAGCTCTGTTGACCCCAGATGTTTTAGGACCAGAACCATCCCCAACCAGCTCTGTTGACCCCAGATGTTTTAGGACCAGAACCATCCCCAACCATCTCTGTTGACCCCAGATGTTTGAGGACCAGAACCATCCCCAACCATCTTTAATCACTTCTGGTTTTGGTCTCGTACAAACAAGCCATTATCGGCTTGTACAAGTATCAGATCAAAGCAATCTTGCTTTGCTCTCATGCTTTGGAGACCAGTGGAGAAATCTGGGGTCTCCATAAAGAGAACCTGTCATGTCCCATGCTGTCACTATCATGATAGTACATCCCATATGGGGCCCTGAAGGCAGTTCTGTGGTTTTCTTTTTTTTTTTGTTCATTTTTTTGGTGCACATACAGTCAGGTCCATAAATATTGGGACATCGACACAATTCTAACATTTTTGGCTCTATACACCACCACAATGGATTTGAAATGAAACAAACAAGATGTGCTTTAACCGCAGACTGTCAGCTTTAATTTGAGGGTATTTACATCCAAATCAGGTGAACGATGTAGGAATTACAACAGTTTGCATATGTGCCTCCCACTTTTTAAGGGACCAAAAGTAATGGGACAATTGGCTTCTCAGCTGTTCCATGGCCAGGTGTGTGTTATTCCCTCATTATCCCAATTACAATGAGCAGATAAAAGGTCCAGAGTTCATTTCAAGTGTGCTATTTGCATTTGGAATCTGTTGCTGTCAACTCTCGAGATAAGATCCAAAGAGCTGTCACCATCAGTGAAGCCATCATTAGGCTGAAAAAAAAAAAAAACAAACCCATCAGAGAGATAGCAAAAACATTAGGCGTGGCCAAAACAACTGTTTGGAACATTCTTAAAAAGAAGGAACGCACCGGTGAGCTCAGCAACACCAAAAGACCCGGAAGACCACGGAAAACAACTGTGGTGGATGACCGAAGAATTCTTTCCCTGGTGAAGAAAACACCCTTCACAACAGTTGGCCAGATCAAGAACACTCTCCAGGAGGTAGGTGTATGTGTGTCAAAGTCACCAATCAAGAGAAGACTTCACCAGAGTGAATACAGAGGGTTCACCACAAGATGGAAACCATTGGTGAGCCTCAAACACAGGAAGGCCAGATTAGAGTTTGCCAAACGACATGTAAAAAAGCCTTCACAGTTCTGGAACAACATCCTATGGACAGATGAGACCGACATCAACTTGTACCAGAGTGATGGGAAGAGAAGAGTATGGAGAAGGAACTGCTCATGGTCCTCAGCATACCACCTCATCAGTGATCATGGTGGTGGTAGTGTCATGGCGTGGGCATGTATGGCTGCCAATGGAACTGCTTCTCTTGTATTTATTGATGATGTGACTGCTGACAGAAGCAGCCGGATGAATTGTGAAGTGTTTCGGGAATATTATCGGCTCATATTCAGCCAAATGCTTCACAACTCATTGGACGCTTCACAGTGCAGATGGACAATGACCCAAAGCAGACTGCAAAAGCAACCAAAGAAGTGGAATGTTCTGCAATGGCCAAGTCCATCACCTGACCTGAATCCGATTGAGCATTTCACTTGCTGAAGACAAAACTGAAGGGAAAATGCCCCAAGAACAAGCAGGAACTGAAGACAGTTGCAGTAGAGGCCTGGCAGAGCATCACCAGGGATGACACCCAGCGTCTGGTGATGTCTATGCGTTCCACACTTCAGGCTGTCATTGACTGCAAAGGATTTGCAACCAAGTATTAAAAAGTGAAAGTTTGATTTATGATTATTCTTCTGTCCCATTACTTTTGGTCCCTTAACAAGCGGGAGGCACATATGCAAACTGTTGTAATTCCTACACCGTTCACCGGATTTGGATGTAAATACCCTTAAATTAAAGCTGACAGTCTGCAGTTAAAGCACATCTTGTTCGTTTAATTTCAAATCCATTGTGGTGTATAGAGCCAAAAATGTTAGAATTGTGTCCATGTCCCAATATTTATGGACCTGACTGTAGATATCCAAAGATTTCCCTCTAGGACACTTGTCAAATCTCCCCCTTCATATGGGCACATTTCATGTCTGACAATCAGGTCCACCATGGGAAGAGGTGCGAGGTATTTCAACATACAAGATCATGCTACAGTCAATACCTGGACATGGGCAGGACACACGGCCAGTACATATCAGAAGATGTTAAAAACATAAAAAGGGACTTCCGACCTCTCACCTGTGAAATCCCTGTTGCTGGAGAGCCTCAATACACTGCTGTTCCAGAGCTGTGATGCGTTCCTCCAGGAGAGGGAAGGAGTCTTTACTGTACAGCACAGAGCACGGCTCCTGAGCCTCATGTACCACATCTGCCAGAGCCATGCCGAAGGCGGACAGGATTCCACCATACCTAGAAGGGATCGGTAATCATTTATTATAAAAGACACAAAATAATGGAGCTCAGTGTGCATCAGTTCGGACACCCCCTTCCAGTCCGGACACTTTTCTCCCCCTTCCAGTCGGACACTTTTCTCCCCCTTCCAGTCCGGACACTTTTCTCCCCCCTTCCAGTCCGGACACTTTTTTTCCCCCCTTCCAGTCCGGACACTTTCTCCCCCCTTCCAGTCCGGACACTTTTTCTCCCCCCTTCCAGTCCGGACACTTTTCTCCCCCCTTCCAGTCCGGACACTTTTCTCCCCCTTCCAGTCCGGACACTTTTTCCCCCCTTCCAGTCCGGACACTTTTCTCCCCCCTTCCAGTCCGGACACTTTCCCCCCCTTCCAGTCCGGACACTTTTCCCCCCCCCTTCCAGTCCGGACACTTTCACCCCCCTTCCAGTCCGGACACTTTCCCCCCCTTCCAGTCCGGACTTTCACCCCCCTTTCCATACACCCCCCCTTCCAGTCCGGACACTTTCCCCCCCTTCCAGTCCGGACACTTCCCCCCCTTCCAGTCCGGACACCCCCCCTTCCAGTCCGGACACTTCCCCCCCTTCCAGTCCGGACACCCCCCCCCCTTCCAGTCCGGACACTTTTTCAGTCCGGACACTTCCCCCCCTTCCAGTCCGGACACTTTTCTCCCCCTTCCAGTCCGAACACTTTCCCCCCCCCCCCTTCCAGTCCGGACACTTTCACCCCCTTCCAGTCCGGACACTTTCCCCCCTTCCAGTCCGGACACTTTCTCCCCCCCTTCCAGTCCGGACACTTTCCCCCCCCCCTTCCCGTCCGAACACTTTCCCCCCCCCCTTCCAGTCCGGACACTTTCGGACCCCCCCTTCCAGTCCAGGGCAATTCTCAGCTTTCAGTGCTGTCACACTTTGAATGACAATTGCGCGGTCATGCAACACTGTACCCATATGAATTTTTTAGCATTCTATTGAGACAGATATAACTTTATTTTGGTGGTATTTATTCACTGCTGGGATTTTTATTTTTTTTGCTATGTAAATGGAAAAGTCCAAAAATTTTGAAAAAAGTGTTTTTCTTATAAATTTTTGCAAATAAATAATATTTCATCATAAATCTTGGCCAAAATTTATTCAGTTATCTTTTTAGTAAAAAAAAAAAAAAAAATAACCCAAATTAGTATATAACCAAAAATTATAATTTTTCAAATTTTGTTTTCACATTTTTTTTATTTATATTATTATTTATATTTTTTTTTTTTACATACTATCACCCTAGCAGTACAGTGTCACCATGGTGACACTGTACTACTTGTGGGGGGGGGGGGAATGAAGATTTTTTTTTTTACACTGATTGCTTTTACACCCATAAAGGATTTAAAAGCAATGGATTTCTCCTCCTCTCTGGCTGCATTCCTGCAGCCATTGAGAAATACTGTGAGAGCTGCGATTGGTCACAGCTGGTCACATGGTACAAGGCTGTTGTGAATAGCCCTGTACCATGTGATCTCTGTGATCATTCACAGATTTTACACGTAGTAAGCGATGATGTCAGAAGTGACATCTTCCTTACTACTCTTCATGTGATCACTGATTGGCCAATCAGTGATCACATGATTGGGACCTCACACAGAGGTCCTGTACAGCGATCGGTGTTTCTCTGTGTCTGGAGGACACAGCGGGCACCGGATCGTGGTGCCACGCGCTCCCAGGAAGCGCACACAATCCAAAATGGCGAGCACAGTTTATGAATGGCAACCCACCCCTGCACTGCCACCGTCTGGCCATTTATATACAGCGGCCGGACGGGAAGTGGTTAATACATTCTAATTTTGTAACCACTGCAGGCTCTGTGATGTCCCCACACCTCGCCATAGGAAGAAGGGTCAGCCGCACCCCGGAGGATAGAGGAATACAGCGTGTATTTATACCTCGCCAGGTTGAAGTGGTTATACCGGGATGATGCCAGTATCTTTTTTTTTTTTTTTTTTTTAGATAGCAATACTGTTTAACCCCCTTGCCTACCGCGCACTCCCCAACCCTTCCTGCCTACCGGACACTCCTACCCCCTTCCTGCCTACCGGACACTTCTACCCCCTTCCTGCCTACCGGACACTCCTACCCCCTTCCTGCCTACCGGACACTTCTACCCCCTTCCTGCCTACCGGACACTTCTACCCCCTTCCTGCCTACCGGGCACTTCTACCCCCTTCCTGCCTACAGGGCACTTCTACCCCCTTCCTGCCTACCGGGCACTTCTACCCCCTTCCTGCCTACCGGACACTTCTACCCCCTTCCCCTACCGGGCACTTCTACCCCCTTCCTGCCTACAGGGCACTTCTACCCCCTTCCTGCCTACAGGGCACTTCTACCACCCTTCCTGCCTACAGGGCACTTCTACCCCCTTCCTGCCTACAGGGCACTTCTACCCCCTTCCTGCCTACAGGGCACTTCTACCCCCTTCCTGCCTACAGGGCACTTCTACCCTTCCTGCCTACCGGGCACTTCTACCCCCTTCCTGCCTACAGGGCACTTCTACCCCCTTCCTGCCTACAGGGCACTTCTACCCCCCTTTCCTGCCTACAGGGCACTTCTACCCCCCTTCCTGCCTACAGGGCACTTCTACCCCCTTTTTGCCTACCGGGCACTTCTACCCCCTTCCTGCCTACAGGGCACTTCTACCCCCTTCCTGCCTACCGGACACTTCTATCCCCTTCCTGCCTACAGGGCACTTCTACCCCCTTCCTGCCTACAGGGCACTTCTACCCCCTTCCTGCCCAGGCCAATTTTCAGCGCTCTCGCACTTTGAATGACAATTGCGCGGTCATGCAACATTGTACCCATATGACATTTTTATCATTTTTTCATACGCATAGAGCTTTATTTTGGTGGTATTTACTCGCTGCTGGGGGTTTATTTTTTGCGCTATAAAGAAAAAAAGAGCAAAAAAATTGGAAAAACAAAGTTCTCTATTATAAAATTTTGCAAACAGGTAATTTTTCTCCTTCACTGATGTGCGTTGATGAGGCAGCACTGATGGGCACTGATGGGCAGCACTGATGGGCAGCACTGATGAGCTGGCGCTGATTTTTTGAACTAATCAATGATGGTAGAATCCTGCAGAAATATAATTTCCACATGCCTAAAGCTGGCCATGTGGGCGAATTTCAACATACTTCTCGGAGAATTTTTTGTTTTTTCGCACCATAACAAAGCAAATTTTTTTCTAAGTGATCGGGCATGTTGGAAATTTTTTGAATAACAAACAATGATGGTGGTAGAATCCTGCGAGAAATAGAATTTTAAAATAAATGAGCCCTGACTTGGAAAGAAAAGAAAAACTCTTCTTTTCTGTAGCAAGACGAGGTAAAATTAACAGCTTGGTTGGTTGAATTTCGAAATCAATGGTAGCACCAATCGGATTACAAAACACACAAAATTTTTGATTTTCTAAAGAAAATTTGTTTGGATTCGACCCGCGTATGGTCCTGCATAAGACAAGTTTCAAATATTGCTACAACTGGACTGTGTATTTATTGCCAGCACCACGCTGCACCCCCCCACAAACACATTTGCCTGGTTCCTGGCTGTTCAAACTGGTCGAAATTAGATTTTTTTTTTTTTTTTTTACATAGTCTGATTGAAAAAGACAAAAGTCCATCCAGTTCAACTATTAAAAAAAAAAAATAATTATAATCCTCCACCCACAGTGATCCAGAGGAAGGCAAAAAAAACCAGCAAAGCACGATCCGATTGGCTCCTGCAGGGGAAAAAATTCCTTCCTGATTTTTTTGCAGTCAAACTTACTTGTGAATAAAGACTGTTTTTCATTCCCAGTGATCGGGCGATGGCGCAAGCATGCTGACCTCCTGCACCGCCAAAACACGCTAAAAAACATGGCGAGAAGTGTCATGGCCTTTTGCCTGTTCAAATACAAAAATTGTTTATTTTTATTTTTTTTAAACTGACAAAAAAAATTAGAAGAAATTAAAGTAAAAGTAGATCTAAAGCCAAAACTTTTTTTTTGAGAATAGGTAAAACCCCCCATCAGGCTTCTTGTGTCCCTCCACCTCCTCCAGTGAAGTGAGGAAAATCCCTCTTAGAAAGTTGTCACCAGAACAGGTGTCCGCCATTAAAAGATTTCCTATGTATTGTGGTACATTTTTTTAATTAGCCCAAAATATTGGATTTCCATGACTTTCCGTGACTATTGACAATGGTGACCAAAAAATATGGTGAACCTTCCTAGAAGAGGCTCAGGCACCAGTATAACTTTGGATGAAGGTTCTTATCCTTTCACACTTTTTTTTTAACCACTTTCCTGCCCACCTTATAGCAGAAATACTACTACAGGGCGGCAGGGCTGCGCAAAATCACCACATGGATTAACCTGACTACCCAGAAGGAAGAAAAATATATTTGAAATGCTACAATTTTGGCCATATGCAATATATTTCAATAATATATATATATATATATATATATATATATATATATATATATATATACATACATACATACACACACACACACACACACATAATACATATACAGGTGAAACTCGAAAAATGAGAATCTGGTGCATTCATTCATTGATTTCAGTGCAGCAACTTAAAAGGTGAAACTAATATATGAGACTCATTCCATGCAAAGCAAGATAGTTCCAGCCGTGATTTGTCATCATTGTGATGATTATGGTTTACAGCTCATGAAAACCCCAAATCCACAATCTCAGAAAATGAGAATATAGTGAAAAGGTGGAATAATCTCGGCTCAAAGTGTCCCACTCTAATCAGCTCATTCAGCCATAACACCTGCAAAGGGTTTCTGAGCCTTTAAATGGTCTCTCAGTCTGGTTCAGTAGGAATCACAATCATGGGAAAGACCGTGGGATTACTGTGCTTGATTGGCCAGCAAACTCGCCTGACCTGAACCCCGTTGAGAATCTATGGGGCATTGCCAAGAGAAAGGGAGGTGGAGACCAGGGAGCTTGAAAGTAGGAGGTCTTGTGAGGAGCGAAGATTACGGGTTGGGTGGTATTTGGGTATCAGGTCGGTGAGGTAGTTTGGGGCGGAGGAGTTATGAATGGCTTTGTATGTCAGAGTTAGTAGTTTGAATTTAATACGTTGGAGGGAATGACAAGGGGGGTGGAGGACACTGAATGGAGGCCAGTGGAGGATTGGTAGAGAGGGGTGGAGGACACTGAGTGGAGGCCAGTGGAGGATTGGCAGAGGGTGAGGACACTAAGTGGAGGTCCATTGGCAGAGGGGGGTGGAGGGACACTGAGTTGGTAGGGAAGACAGAGGGGTGGAGGACACTGAGTGGAGGCCAGTGGAGGGGTAGAGAGGGGTGGAGGACACTGATTGGGCAGTGGAGGGATTGGCAGAGGGGTGGACACTAAGTGGAGGTCAGTGGAGGGATTGGCAGAGGGGGGTGGAGGACACCGAGTGGAGGCCAGTGGAGGGATTGGCAGAGAGGGGTGGAGGACACCTGAGTGGAGGCCAGTGGAGGGAATGGACAGAGGGGGGGGTGACAGAAGCGGAGCGGTTGGTAAGGTGGATGAGTCTGGCCGCTGAGTTCAGGATAGACTGAAGCGGGGATAGTCTGTGATGAGGGAGGCCGGTGAGGAGGGAGTTGCAGTAGTCCAGACGTGAGATAATAAGGGAGTGAACGAGTAGTTTAGTAGTGTCTGGGGTTAGGAAGGAACGTATTTTGGAGATGTTGTGGAGGTGGAGCCTGCATGAGTTTGCCAACGATTGGACATGGGGTTGGAAGGACAGGTCTGAGTCTAGAGTGACACCTAGGACT